CTGTGCTAAAAGCCTTTTTTCCCTTATTTTTATTCCTGATCTAGCTTACATCACAAAATAGCAATTCTTGAATTTAACTTTTTGACTTCTTGACCACCCAGTGACAATACTACCAGCCAAGAGGAGTGTCCCTGGCTCCTTCTCAATACTGAGTCCTCAACTCTATTTGAACATCCATAAACAGTGGGAGGACAGACATAGCTCTAGTGAACTTGTCTTATATTCCTATTCCTCCAAACAGGTTCCTGAGCCTGGCTACGAAAGAGCACTTCTTCTGTTATGTAACTATTATTCTGTCTTTCCATTTTGATGTATGCTGGTATCCTATTTCATTATGTCAATTTTTGGAATGTGATAGATGTGAAGTTGATTAGAACTGGATATGCTGGGCATTTTGGTTACTAAGAAAAGCATGAGATTTTATCAAACCTTTGGTTCCCAAAGAGGATTTCAGCATATTCCAGAGAATTTATATTGTAAAGCTTTGCTAAATGGAGTTAAAACAAAAGCAAAACAAAACAAAACAAAAAAGAGGGACCCCACTGTATGTAGTAGCTCAGAATAAAAGGTCAACTTTGACCCATACACATGAACATTTAAAGTAGGTTTACAGAGTTCCATGTGCTTCTTAGAAAGATACCCATCTTCCAACAGTTAAAATACTCCCTTACCTTGGCATCATATCAAAAAGGAGGTCAAAATTATAACCAATAACTTGCCTTCTCCTAAGGTGGGATTTCTCAGATTCTGCTCTACTGACATTTTAGAACAGATCATCCTTTGTTGCGGGGGGCTGTTATGTGCATTGTAGAAAGTTTAGTAGCATCTCTAGATTCCACCCACCAGATGCCAATACAACTGTAAATGGGCCAAGACATTGCCAAATGTCCTGGAGAAACAAAATCACCTCTGGTTGAGAAACACTGCCTTAGGGACCACTGGATTGATCCCAGTCTGCCTTCACCTCCTCAAGCAGCCCAACCTTTCCTAGACTCAGCCTCAGACACCCTTCTGCCCACTGGCATTGTATGTTCTCTAGTCTGACTCATCTCCTGTGCTCTCCAACCCCCACTCCACCAATCTTCTGTTGTTACAGGAACTCATGAGCAGACATCAGCAAAATCCCCTGTCATCTCCATCTCTTCATGGAATATTTTTTGGTCTAACCATGAACTTAAGGCTGCTGTTCCCTACAGCCCTCTCATGGAGCATGATGTGCTCTCCTCTCATACCCCACATACCTCTCTTTGCTGATTCCAGACCATGTTCCTCTCTGCCTCCCTCAAGAAACCCAGCCCCTTAGAATAGGGGCTGTACAACTACAGCTTGTGGGCCAAATGCAACCCCCTAGAGTCTGTCAGCTAAGAATAGTTTTCACATTTAAATAGTTGGGAAAAAAAAGTCCAAAGAACATTTCATGACATAAAATTCAAATCTCTGTGTCCATAAGTAATTTCACTGGAATATAGCCAAGCTCATTTGCTTACCTGTTGTCTATGGCTGCTTATGCTACAAAGGCAGAGTTCAGTTGAGTATTTGCAACAGAGACTGTCTGGCCAGCAAAGCTTAACGTACTTACTATCTGTCCCTGGACAGAGAAAGTTTCTGACCCATGTGCGTCTGTACCATCCGCTCCCAGCCAGTTGTCATCATCTTCTACCCGTCAGGTCACTCTTGCATGTATTTTTAAATACACACAGGACTGCAAGGTGGATGGCCCAACTGCTAACGTTAGTGACTGAATGAAGTTCAAAATTACCTGTATGGGTTGGAATGCTGTGTGGAAATCAACAGTATGAAATTTAAAGGTCACATATTAAGTCCTATACAATGTTCATTATCAGAAGACTGACATACAGAGCAGGAAGAAGATGTGCTGTTTGTTGACAGAGGTGGAACCAGACGAATAAGGAAACATTACAGGGAATTTTCCATTCAATAGAATACAAAGCAATAATAGAGCTATAACATTATAGACCAAGGTTAGGTCAGAAGACTTTCCTAACAAGCAGAAAAGTTCAAGGATAGAATGGGGTGTCTAGAAAGGAGATGTGTCTCAGAGGGGTGTCTGTGTTTGGCTGCACACAGATAAGGCTCTTTCTCTGAACTAGTCAACTTTAAGACTTTGTAGTCCTAAGATTATATGTTACATAATTATATATATCATTTAAACCATAGACAATGGTTCTTTTGCCGATTAGATGCTAAAAATAACTTTCTTAGTAAAAAGTAAAAGCACCAACATTTTTTTCCTTTCAATTAAATCTGTCAATTTAAGTGCAAAGATGCAAGTCATCACAGCACACACAGACACAAACGACACTTTTAGGTGACCAGATGACCAATAAACTTGTACCTTACTTGGTAAATGCGTAGTGAAGAGTTCTATTTCTTAAGAAACCAAAGAAACCAAGTTGAGTTTAGAGTCTTATTAATCCTTATTAGAATTAAAGCACATAGCCTACTAGGCTCAAGTCTTAAAGAGATTTTCTCCTTTTCAACTCACTTTGAATTTTTATATTTACCTCAATAAAAATACAACTATGCGGTATGTAAATCAAGTTTCTTCTCTAAAAAGTCAGAAGTGAAAATTTCACTCAATGACTATGTTTAGGAATAGTGGGTTGGTAAGTGGTTATGTGTGAATTGGACATTTCAAGGCAAGTCCAAAGACTTGGGTTTAACCCATGACTCAGCCCCCTAGCCTGAGATTTCTCACAAGGCACCAAACCACAGACAGTTTTCTCTCTTGCAAAATGAGGATAATGATGCTTGCCCTGCCTGGAACCTGCAGAGGATCACTGTGAGAATTAAAGTTAGACTACATAAAAGAACCAACTGAGTGTACAGTGCCATATGCATTTTAGGATAACATGAATCTCCTTCTAACCTCTAACATTTTTTTCCAAAATTACTGGCATTAATTGGGTCATAAATTGTAAACTCCAGCCTAAAATTCCTCATATTTGGGTATGCAGGCATGTAGCTGTAAGTTAGCAGTAAGTAGGAAAAGAATGTTCACACAGATGAAGAGTAATCTTGGTCAGGCGTGCTTCTGTGTCTTTCAAGGTCTACAGGGATTCTAACACAACGAACTACTTGATTATAAGGTAATGTTTTGAGGCACAGATGTTGGGCAGGTGACTAAGCTATGCTTGCAGGGGTCATTTCCAATTTTGCTTCTCGTCACCCTTCCCTCTGTCCTACTCCCATCCCTGCCAATTGTTGTTTTGGGGCCTATTGTTATTTAGGGGCCACAGGGCAAAATCCCTCCAACAGGCTTCATGGATGAAGCCACTTCACAATCATCAATCTGTAAAATGGTATCTGCTTGTACAAGCTGGAAAGTGTATTTTTCCCAACAAATGTTCCTAAATTTACATTAAAGTACTAATTTCAGAAAAATGAAACTCAGTCCTATTTTAAAAGAATGAGACAAGCAGCATTCAGAGTAGCATCTGTGACCTCCTGCTCCAGATCCGCTAAGCCAGTGCAGCACCTTCAAACTGTGAACTGTGCCCAGGAAGGTCCACTCCACTGTTGTTATCCTTGCCAGCCTATCACAAGGTGTTGTCACCTGAACTCACAACAAAGAGACCTTTGAAGAGTGTTAACAGCAAGAAATAGATGTGGAACAAACATGATACAAGTTGACATAATCTCCTAACTCTTACCCTTGGCATCTTTGGTGATTTTAAATAGAGATTTTTCAGCCCACTATATACATTTTTCTTAACTCTCTCCATGTTAATTCCTTCAGCCACTAACCAGGAAGTGCTAGAGAGAAATTCAAATACTCTTTGTGCACTGACTAAGTTTCTTGATGATCTTAGATGACAAAGTACAATGTTCTTGTAGTTTGTACAAAGTAGAATACAAAGCAGATGTTCTCATTTCTCCATCTGTTTAGAAGTTTTGGTCTGCTTTTCAGTACACAAGAGCTTGTTGTAAACAAACTCTTAGAAACAGGAAAACCTGTAGCTGGAAGACTATGTGGTAGAGAATGCTGTCAACATGGACTGTGGCTTGCACATCACTCTCAGACTAATGCCCTCCTCTCCTTCTGTGATAGAAGGCACCCAAAGGCATGGGCTGTTCCAGAGAGCTCCATCAGCCTAGTGAATGGATAGCATCCATTTGGGAAGATGTAACTGGACCCAGACTGCACAGCAGCAAGGCCATCCTTTCGTTGCCCTCTATTTTATGGAACCACTTCTAAGTTCCTATAGATTTTGTCCAACTTTATTAGTTTGAATAATATATATAATTTCTTATGAGATTGTCCATCTATTTGTTTCCATCTACCACCCGCATTTCCACCAGTCTGGATGTGAGGGTCACACGAACAGAGATCATGCTTATATCTTCATGGCATCAAATAGTCCTGGCCAGTAACATTCAATAAACATGTTTGCTACAGACTGAAGAAATGATGACCTTAGTATTAACTGAAATTTATATCTATATATACATTTATTTATACATATCCTATATTTACATATATCTGCGAATATATTTAATATAATATATGTACTATATATTTGTGTATTATATATATATGTTTTAAACTCATACAGGTTTATCCTATTTAACTAAAACCAAGTTCAACTATGTATTGCCTTGAGTATCTCAAGCCTCTTATAATCTCACCTACCACTTATTTCTAGGCCAAAGTTTTGTGTTTTTGGTTTCTTTTCCATTTGATAAAGTGCAGTTTTCTGAACTTACATTAACTGAGATATTAAATAATACAAAAATTCAACTGGGTATAGAAGAGCTCATTGGGTTAAGATCAAATCTGTGCAGGTCAGCAGGTAGGTCCACCTCGTCCTGGGAAGTTCCATGGGAATTTGGGTTGGTGTTTTAAGGGTAGAGAGGAGGCAGGGAACAAGTGGGGGTGAGAGAGGTTATGTGGCCAGCAGAGTGGGGATGATGGTACTCCACCCACTCACACCCCCTTTTCGGTGTCCTTGCACCCCTCTCCACCCATTAATACTTACTTTTCACGGTGCTCCTGCACTTGACTGGGCTTGAAGCTGGGTGCCGCCTGGGAGCAGGGACTGGCAGGAGCTGACAGAGGACTCCTGGCGCTCTGCATGGAGTGCCTGCGGCTCCGCCTGCGATCCAGGCCCCGGTGCTCGCCTGTGCCGCCCGAACACACGCTGGCCCTCCTCCGGTCCTGGCGCCCACTTGGGGGTGGCTCAGCGGTCTCATCGCCGTCCTCGTGACGCAGCACCATCTAAAAACCAGACAGCATTCAGTGCAAGGTCAGACTTGATGTCCTTTCATAGGCCTAACATGTGGCTTTGCATTTCAGGCTCACCCTAATGAGTTTCCCCCCATTCTTCCATCTCAGCTTCTCTGCAAGATCTTCCTAACAACCACCTCCCAGGCGCGGTCTGCAAATGGAAAGATGCTTGCCACTTGCCACTGTGTATTTACCTATCAGATCATTAAGGAAGAGGTCAACCGATATCAGAGGTAGCAAAATATTTTGTAATTTGATGGGATCTTTACCCTGGCAGCTGGCATTGTCATTTCCCAGGGCACATCTCTCCTGGCCCACCCTTTGCTCTTCTCTGGTCCAGGAGGTGGAGTCCCTCCTGCAGCCCAGGAGCTGGAAGCCCTGGAGTTTCTGAGCATTCCTGAGCTTGCTTTCCCAATCGGGTGTGCAGAAGAGCACAGCAAGGATTCTGGTCAGAGGCCAGAGCCACAAGATCCATGCAGGTGGAACAGGCCTCAGTGGAGAGTGTTTTGAGAGGCCCAGTGCAGAAGAAGGCCCGCGAGCTCAGAATCTTGGCCCAGGAGGCTGCAGTTAGACTACCCTCTGCAGCCTGGTCTCCAGACTGGGGGTGGAGCCTGTAGTTACACTGGACTACCTGCATATGCCAGTTACCAACATATATACCCAAAATAGACTGCCTTCTAGAATAACATTTTTAAAACATTTCCTCTTGAAAGTATACATATTAGTGCAGAGGAATAATTGGTGTTCACTCTGCTACTTTAGCTTTCACGTGGAAACCTGAGCCACCCCACACCTGACCTTTTCCAAGGGATATCTACTTCCTGCTCCCAGCTGGTGCCCCCTCCAGAGCCCTACCTGGTCCATCTCCTAGTATCACGGTACCTTGGCTCCCATGCTGCGGCTTCCCCATATCACACTAACACCAGTGCTTGTGCTTTTGCAGAGTTCTTGCCCTTCTCCCTGCTCACTCTTCCCAGTCATGGGCCGCACTCATATCCATCTCCAGCATCTTTCTGTTAATGCCTACCTTCTCCAAAACTGCACCAAAAATGGAGCACAAGCTGTTCTCAATGAGACCTTTGTGTGAACGCCAGCCATGCCACTAACAAACAGTGGGATTGGCAGTAAGTTACGTGCCCTCTAACTCACCACTGAGGGCAACAGTATTTCATTTGCAGGTCTGTAGTAAGAGTAACATATATAGAGATAATGGACATAAAGCAGCTGGGGTAGGGCCTGCCCTGTGGCTCATATTCCATAAATATGACTATCCTTCCTCCAGTTTATGCCCTCAGGTGAAGGGGCCTAGAATTCCCACAAATTCCTCCACCACACAGAAATGGGTCAGGCCACCTCACAGCCTGGAGAAGACAGGTCCAACCCCTCTGCAGCCTCTCTGTTGAAGTGACCAAGGAGTCACACAGTCCCATAGCCCCAAAGGTGCAAATTCCTCAGCTTTGTGGATGCTCTTAGTCACATTCACAACTCGGTCCTGACATGTGAGGGGATGGAGATGTAACATAAAGACCCAGATGGCTAACCATGCTATATGGTCTAACATCACCTATCCATAGAAAACTTGGCTATTGCAAAGTCAGTGGTCCCCTATGTCCAAGGGCTTGGCACTTATGTCTACCAAGTAAGGAGGGCTTGCCTGAGTCAGATCCAAGTTGGCCACTCACCCTGGTTCACAGGGATGAACACCTGAAACACCTGGCCTCTGTCACTGGAGTCCATCCACCCTTTATCTGCCCCACCTCCAGCTTCCTCCAGCTCTAGCATTTGGATAATTTCAAGTTAATAAGAACTTTTCCATCTATGTGCCAGATACATTTTACAAAAAACTCAGGTATATGAAAACACATCAAAATATATAATTTTTGACTATTTTGTTCCCCTAAATTTTACTAATCAGACATAATTTGGAGAAGTTTGAGGTAAGAATTGATGAGTTCAGAAAAAGCTCTATTATAAAAATCTCACCAGACGGTGTGTTTCCTGGGGGAAACATATAACTCCCTCCACGTAACTATAAAAAGTAAGAAATTATGCATTTGGCTAGTCACATGTATCATTCAACTTTAACACTTTAAATGGCATTTTCTGGGGAAAGTTTCAGAATGATTATATACCTAACCAAGGACAGTATTTAAAAATATCCCTAGCCAATTATTTTTTCTTCACTTTCAGATATAAAAATTCTAGACTGAACTTATAATGACCTTAAGTATTGATTCTGCTTCTTATTAAGCACAAATTTGGAATGATAAGATTAGGGGATAAAGTAGAGTTCAAATATTTCTAATTCCTTGTCCAACCTCAGAGATCCAAAGATCAAATAGCATTCTGTTTACAGTTCCTTTCAGAGATGCACACAGAGTGTGCACAAAGTAAAATCCACTTCAACTGCCTTTTGTTATGGAAGATGGAGACAATTAGAAAGTCTAAATGAAAAAGAAAAGTCTGGAAAAATTATCAAAGCAGCACCATAAAATGGGATTCAGTGGGGTTATCTAAAAGTTTAGATCCTCAACAAAATATGTCTCCTTAAAAAAAACAAAAGAGGGCACAGAACAGATGAATGAGACACAGAATCCTAGCAGATCCAATGATAGCTTTGGGCTTTGCAGTCAAGAACAGTGATAATATGAAATATGAGGCTGGTGTTCATTCATGGTTTTGGTTTTATAAGAAGAATCCTAGAATCACCAGTGTCTGCTGATGACAAGAAGAAAGAGTTTACTTTCACATACAGAACTTTGGTGGCAGGTCCAAATCTTCAGATTTTAGGGAATACTACAGATTAGAGTCAAGAACACTAAGAACTGGAAAACATCTGGAAAGAAAAGCACTTTCACAAGACTTACTCAGCTTCTATGTTGTTAGATCTAATCAACTACAAGGGCAAACAGTGCTGTCCTTGGGAACACAAGGTGAGATTAACAGCTCCTGAAAGATCTCTAATCTCTCCCAAATGATGGAGGGTTTCATTTGCTGGATCTCTTATCAAATGCCTTCTTCTTCTTTTAATTAAATGTAAGAACACTGTTTATAAACTAAAACCCACATGAGGAGCAAGCAGCTTAAGAATCCAGCCCTGATTGTCTGCATACCCTTCCCCACCTTACCAAGTAAGCAGTTAAAAGCAGCCTAAGGTGGCAACTTCCACCAATGTTTGAGGCGACTGAAGGATCTGAGCAGTCTTAAAAATTTAATTTTTGAAATTTTTAAGCATATACAAAGTATGGAGAGGAGTATAAAGACTGATGTGCTCATCACATGTAATAGTTCAACAATTATCGACCCTGGCCAATCTTGTCTCATTTACCCCACCCCCTACCCCTGCCCCACAACCAGATTTTTTTAGGTAAATCCCAGAGCTTATCATATGATCTGTAAATATTTCAGTGTATATTCCTAAAGGAAAAGGATTTCTTAGAACTATAACCTCTACACCACTGTCCCACTTCAAATAATTTTCTATTATCATCAAATAACCAACAATCTGAACATTCTTGATGAAGGTCAAAAGCTACTATCATTTCTTCAAGTTTATATCATTGTACAACTACTAACATCTGTGACAGACAGCATCTTTACATGACAGATAGAATCATTTTCTATACTGGCATACCACACCTTCTTTTTAACTCATACCTAAACATGTAATGCAGCTTTTTGGTGAAGCAGATGCCAGTGCTAGTACCATTATAAGAAGAATCTATGCTGAAGACAGGTTGGGGCAGACTTACAAACCTAGGCTCTGAGAGAATGATGCCTCCCTATTTCCTCACCCTTGTGTACCCCCATCTACATTAAATCTAGGATTTTCCATGGGACTTGCTTTGACCAATGGGACATCAGCAAACCAGGCTTGCAAAGTGTTTGCATATTAGGCCTTCCTCTTCTGATTGTCACTACAGTGTAAAGAAG